AATTCGATGGCTGGCTCGGCCATGGTGGCGCAGCCCCCTCCTCTTTTACCGACCAAACCGCTGTTCAGATTCAAGTTCTGACGCGTCCATCTGACTCAGAATGCCTAAAAACCCCTCTCTAGCATCTTACCTTGCTCAATTTGGTAAAAAAACGGCCGAGATCCGTCTACTTCCACCCCTACCATCACCGTTTCGTGGCATCTCCACGCACCATTTTTCCTTTCTTTTTCCCCTCCTACTAACCTCCTGCCTTCCCTGACTACAGATTTGTGTTCGTCAGCCTTCAAAACCACAGGCTATCAACTCCCCTCATCAAGTCTCGTTAGGAAATAGCCGTGCTACGGATTCTCTTTCCGCCATACTCTCCAGCCCGACGTCACTTTTCCCTTCTTCCTCCAAATGTATCTGGCGCAGAACCGTGTCCAGGTTCATTCCGCTTTCCTTACTCAGCTGTAGCCAGGTGCTTCATCTGTAGGACATGACCCCCTCYWGCTGTTTGCATGAGCCGGCTGCCCATAGCCTTGCCGAAGGTGAGCTCCTCTCTCTTCCTCCCAACTCCCTTCCTCTCCGACTCCCCGCCGCCCCTTCGTTACCTTCGAATGCACCTAGCGCAGGCCTGCGTCTAGGTTCCCTCAAATTTGTCCTCCTCTCCTCGATTGCTGCCAGCACTTTTAGTTGCACAGGGCAACACCCATCAGCTCCGCCATGTCCCTTTCCCTTGTCACTTTCACACTCCTCATGGCACACTACCCTGCGATTAGCTCCTTCAAGAGGTCGCACATCATTTGGCAATCTACCTTGTGCTACAGCAGCAACAGTGACGGGCGGTGACCCGGCTTTATACTTGTCCTTCCTACGAAGGGACCGTGTCAGCCTCTTCTGTATCGTTTCAATTTTTAACAGATGTCCCGAAGGACTATACCACAGCCTGGTGGTATCTGAATGGTCCGTGAGCGTACCTACTAAGTCGATCTGAGCATTACCATCGGTCCACAGATCGGTCCTGGCCACGTCCCATAATGGGATAAAAAAACAACAAATAAAATAAAATAAAAAATTTAGAAAAAATAAAAAAAATAAAAATAAAAATCGTGACTTGTAAAATTTTGGGAAAGAGGGCGGAGGAGGGAGGAGGACCGCCGACACTTGGTCCTATCCCAGCGGGCCCGGTGTCGGACTCCCCTAGCAAAACTAAAGGGGATAGTCCGGCTGGACCCTCAACCCCCTAGTTCCCTTCAAACGCTCCTCCGCTACTTCACTGCTCCTCGCTGGCCTTGATCCCGAGATCCGCCTGGTGAAACTCCAACGCCATAACCAATAGGGCTAAGCCCCAGTCTGATGGTAGCACGCGCAAACTTACCTATAAACAGTATCCGCAGATTTCCTAGGCCTGCGGAGGCATGCCAAGCCCACAGCAAGGCATGTCCCTCAAACCATGGCTTTGCAGCTCCGTACAATACCGCCTTGAGGCAGGCATTTGCGTGTCTTGCCGCACATGCCGGTCTTGCGTACCATTAACCGCAGTGTGTGGCTTTCCTGGCCCCGCCGTGGCCGGCCTTTTTRCTGYCGTCCTACCGGAAGAAGCCYGGCATCCGCCYCTACCGAGACCAGTCCATATCCATTCGTCCAACCTCCGGTCCCCTGTGACACATAGTCAACTCAGTATTGTGCGACCTGCACTATGCGACCCAAAAAGAGGTCGGCTTTCAAAGGGTCAGCCATGACTCCTTCCTGGCCGTAGTCCTTCTAGTTACACTTATGTCGGCCACAACTTTATCAGTGGTCGCGAGACTGCGGCCCACACAGTCCGGTCTAAAATCCCGGTCGCGCCTGTCCGCAAAGTGCATGCTCACACACTCTCTAATCAAGCTATACATACGCCTGCCACTTCTGACATACAGTAGTCAGTCGCGGCTGGCGACAAACCCCCCTTACTTTCATGTATCGGCTCAATCACTTCTTCTGCGAGGTGCAAAAACACGCACATTTACCCTTGTAAGGGTAATGGTGCCGACAGTTTTCCGGACCCTATTAAGTGACGTCCCCGTCGCGTTGGTCAGATCAAAAGCTATAAACAATTCAATTTCCATCTGCTGACAAGGAAGTTGACCAATCCGATTAGCCGGCTTGACTATGTTCGAGGTACTTTATCAACCTACCCCCTCCACTGTGTTCTACTGCCAGGGTTTCAACCTGGGTCTCCCACGTCCTGGCCTCGGACTCTGAAGATACTTTGTTCCGTACTACAGCGTAAAGCGTAATGTCCGCTCCCAGGTAGTAGCTTGATAGCCCTCTCCCTTTGCCTTAGACATCTGCCGGTTTACCGTTGGGTGTCCTGTTTAGTCATCGTCCTGCAAGCAGGGTCATAACTTAGGACGCGGGCCCTAACCGAGACCTCTTCAAAACACGGGGCACCTTCAGTCCCCAAAACGGTAAATAATACCATCTCAAATATCCACCGATAATGAACGCCCAACCTGGAGTTTACCACAGGCGGCTTCCAGGTCTCCATCCTGGCCCACCATAGTCTGGTTGATCGAGCCAGATCCACGGCCCACCGCGTTGTTACATTAGCGGTAGTGCCCTCGTTGGTTGCGCAACGATAAACAAATTTTCTCTTACCTTGGCACCCTGAAGGGTCCCGACTCTTGACCTCATCGACCCCAATGACCTTCCCTCCGGCTAAAAACCTCTCCAGGCGGCCGACCTTTCGAGACTTAACCTTTGGTGAGCCATGGTCCCTGGGAGTTAGGTTCTACAGTTCCAGCGATGCTAAGTATAACCCTTTAGCCTGGCCTCACATAATATGTCCCTTAGACTGGCTGCTTGTGGTCTGGCCTTCTCTTTTCACAATAATACGCAAAGGATCACATACCAACTGCCCACGGGACTATGTGGAGGGATATTGCCTTTCTTACAATTCCACAAATATTTCCACAAGGTCGTGTCTTTCTTGCTATGATCAGGGCAGACAAGGTCACACGTCTTATAGGGACACCTTTCCAAAATTTCCATCATACTGCCAGAATTCCATTCATAATTCTCGCAAAAATTCCTGGTCTTTCCTTGTCAGACTTTACATGCATACAATTTTTCATCATCATTATCATCACAGCATCTCCTCAGAGTGTTCTCTCATAATTTCAATTATATTCATAGGAAGGACTCAATCGGCCATTGAGTTTCTTTCACAATCCCAAATGCACACAAAATGACACAACCTTCAGTTGTGACCTTCCATTCAACATCATTACTCAGTTTCAATACACAATTTTATCACATGTGATGTGCATTCTCCCTTAACTATACTTAGTATTTTTCCTGTAACAATGACAGGTAGTCCTAAGTATCGAAAAAGGATAGTGCTGATCAAGCCATCATAAAAACATCTCACAAAATTCAAGCATACATGGGCAAGTCCACAACTGATGTGAGCGTGATATACCCCACAAAACTCTATCAAGTCTGAGTTTCATAGGTACACAAGGAACCTGGGGTTTGCAAAATAGGCAAGACCCCTATTACACTCAAAGAAGAATCCAAGTATAGTACAAAAAAATCAAAAATGTCTCGAATAGGTCAAAGTCCCGAATGTCCAAGTATCAACTCACACTGCACACACAGATCTCACACATCGTACTCTGAAAGGAGAAAAGAAAAGAAAACGTAGTTCATACACAGACACATAACGTACATAGTCTTAAAAAGATAGTCGAACTCAAACTCTATCTAATGTACACTCTGTCTTGTAGTATTGACGGTAACATCTCAATAATGACCCTCACTACTGATATACATGGGTGTGATCCAATCCTCCATGTGTCCTCCTATATACAATCACCTACCAGTAGAGAGTCAGGAATATATTTACTCATGTCAAGGTTTAGACCTTTCCGGACCCTAATGTCAAATCCTAGTCAATCATCACCTCACCTATCTGTCTGTACAACTGCATTCTACCACCATCACAAGACCTCTCAACCAAATTACCATTCCTATCCCTCCAAATCCCAGTGGATACTCTGGTAACAAACCCTCTTGCCTCATCCTCATAGAACTTGGGGGAATCATCAGAGAAGTGTTTGCCCTTCTTACAGTAGAAACACTTCCCAGGCTTCTTCTGTGTCGTCTTCTCTTCTTCCTGCGAGAGTACTGAGGATGAAACTGCCGTAACTTCGCTCGTAACCTCCTGCTGGGGAGTCTCAGATGGAGTGGGGCAGGCTGCTCTCTCCTCTGTCTGTGCCACCTCCTCACTCACTCGCTCCCCTGCCCCGGATCCAGTGGCCCAAGATCCCAGCGCCTCCTCCAGACCTACAACCAGAGGCATATCCTGAGGTGGTGCGGTCTTCTGAGAAACCTCCAGATTCTCCCCTACCTCAGCCTCAACCCTGGCCTGTCCCATACTCTCTTGAGCCTCCTGCTGCCCCACAGTTTCCCTCTGAATTGTAGGTGGTGCAACCTCATCCATGTTGGCCTCTGTTGGTGGCCTCACCCCTAGCCTCACTAGTCCCTGCTCGTGTGCCAAGATGGTGGGCATCCTCCACTCAAACTCTCCTGCCTCTACGTCCTTTCTTGCTAGTGTCTCTTGTGGCTCCAACATCTTCTCATCCAGCAGAGGGATTTCCTCACCCCTTTGCTCGTTTGCCCTCTCTTCCACCTTCTGACTCTTGAAGGCCTCCTCTGCAGGCTGTTTCCTGATTTCAAACCCCTAGACCTCGGTCCAGTCCACCACTGCAGTAGGCGCCTGTTGTGCACATTTGGCCTCAAGATCCTCTATCCTCTTCTCCTACTTGGCTTCCTTTGCCTGAAATATATTATGTTGTACCTGCAAGTAGGTCCTCAGGGTGTCGTTGACTTTGTTGAGGGTCTGGTTGACCTGTCTGATGGCCTCGTTGCCTGCCCAAGCCTTCTCCACCTCAATCTTCATGGCCTCCATCTCCTTGTCCTGCCTCTCCAACTCCTTCTTGAGGTCACCAATTTCTTTCCGCCAATCCATTCTCTGTTCATGAGACGCCCGCGCCACCCTAGTCAACCTCTTCTCCATCTTTTCATCAGAAGTCTTGGCCACCGCAAAGCCCTCCTTCATAAGGCCCTTCAGGCTAAGCAAGTCTGTAAAGACCAGCTTAACCCCCATCTCCTGATGCTGCTCCCTGGGCCTCCCTGCTGCCTCCAACAACTTATCAAAGTTGTCTCAAGCCTCCGTGAAAAGAGGAGTCTCATCGTCTTGAGTGGGTGAGCCATTCCCCTTTCTGTCTTCTAGTATCACAGGCTGCTCTCCCTGCTCAACCTTCTCGTGCAGCTCCGCCATGTTTTTGAGTCTGATTTGGACTCTGATTTCTCTCTCCATTGCTGCTCTCTCTTCCTTGTCCTGTTCCTTCTCTCTTGCAGCCTGATCCTCATCCTTTCCCTGACTCAATGCCCTATGAGACGTCTCTGGCTGCATGCCTGGCTTAGGAGCGGCCTCAGGTACCTGAGCAGGGTGAGGAGGTATATCTGATCCACCTGAGGGCCCTCCCCTCAAGGTCCTCTCTGCAGTCTGCTCCTCTTTCTGTTGAGTTCTGCCAATATGCTGGTCCTCCCCTCTCTCCTGCCTCTGGGACCTGTGCTCTCTCCTCTGCCCATCCCTCTGAGCTCCTGAGGTCGTGCCCTGCTCAAAAGTCCTCCTCTCTGCAGTCTCTGGCTCCTTCCTCTTTCTCTGCACACTCCTCATCTCCTCTGCCTGACGAGTTGGAGTATAATAGTTCCAAAGCAATTTCTTGCAATGGCCCCAGTTTGTGGCAGGCTCCACAATAGATCTGACGAAGGACCTGAGGTGTTCCCTTACAAACAGAATAAACTCCCTCACCCTCTGGCTTGGTGGCTCGTTGATGCTGTCTGCAAACTCGTCGTAGCCCTTCAAGAATTCCCACAGGTTAGTGGCATCGAAACGAATGGGTTGTCCATCCCTTCCTAGTGGCGATGGGTGCAAGCCCTCCATCTTCCTCTCAAAATCCTGCCAGGTCAATGACTCCCTGACGAAGTTGGCAAGGGGTTGTGCCCACTCGCCTGCTCCTCGCACCTCCCGCAGCATCCTGCTACTATCCCATTCAAACTCATGATCGTGCCTCCTGAACCCAACCATGAACAGCTCAACGTTGTCTCCTGTATAAATGGGTGGCCTGTCCTCTCTCCTGGCCCTCATCTGCGTTCCCTGTCTGGTAACCCCCAGAGGGGTTTCCATTGGCCCTGCCCCTCCCCTCCCTCTTGGCATGGCTGCCCAAAAACCGGTGTCAAGCCTGCACAACAAGGAAGAGACAGACAAAAGCACACAGAGGATAAGCAGGTTCGACAAACAAAACAGGAGACAGACATTCCCCTCCCATATCTACCCTAACTACCTATACATACATGTGTAAATACACGTATATAAATTTATCTTAATACTATACTTTATCACACTATTTTACTGAGAAACATACACAATTTTCTCATATATATATATCTATCTAGTAATACCTAACAGAAAGGGATTCTAAATTGTGGGACCCATGCTCACCTCGTCTCGAGCGACAAACTTCTTCACCCAATCTTTCCATGCCGTTCCATTCATTTCTTCAATCTGGTATGCTCCATGCTCGCCACACCTTGTGATCCTGTACGGCCCTAACCACCGCTTGTCCAATTTCCTCGACCACTGCTTCTCTAGGGACGAGTCGTACAACAACACGGCGTCTCCCACCTTAAGAGGTTCCTTCCTTACTCGTGCCAATTGGTCCCACTTGAACTTGTCCTTGGTTCGACTGTCAGCCACCCTACTTGCCGCTTCCTGTACCTTATCCTCTATGGCTCCAATTTGACGTGCCCTTAGATCAAGCAAGTCCTCAAAAGACAAGGTTGTCTCGAGGTCTTGACGCCTCCAAGTCTTTAGGAAACTTTCTATAGGGAATGTCGCATGTCTTCCATACCATAACGTAGTTGGTGTGTAGTTGGTGTTCCTTCTGACAGTGATATTTTTCACGAAGAAGGCAACCCCCAGGAAAGTTGGCCACTGATTGGGCCTGCCATCTGTCCATTTTGCGAGAAGATTTGTAATGGTATTGTGCCCTCTTTCCACTGGTGCGTTAGCCTGAGGGTGTGCCGCAGTCGTATACTCGACGATCACACCATACCCTTTCAGCAACGTTTTCACTTCGGCACAGGTGAATTCGGACCCTCTGTCCATTACGAACCTTGAGACGAAAGAATAGCGAAGGTAGTATTCTTCAATGCATCTCGCTCGTACCTCCCCAGTCTTCGTGCGAATAGCCTTACCATCAACGAACCCTGAGAGATTGTCCCATGCATCGAAGATATAGTTGAACCCTCATATTCCCAGAGGCATCGCTGATAGATCCAGATGAACAACTGCTCCGACCTCACGAATATATCTAGGGTGAAGCGGTTCCCTAGGTCTTAGCGAAGACCGCTCCTCGCATGGTATGCAAGATTTACAATATTTGTCGATTATGTATCCCATGTCATCCCAGTAATATAGTTCGTGAATATTTAAGTATGTTGCATCTGTGCTCCTATGGTCACCAGCCGTTCCATCATGAAGGACAGCTATAACGTCAATCTGTCGATTTATCCCACAGACTACCCTTCTGGGATTCTTTCCTTTACTTCTCATGAATAGATGGTCGTCCCTCACTAGGAAATTCGGTCGCATCTTAAGGACTCTTTCGCTAGCATCTCTTTCCCTTGTTTCACATGACAGGAGCATTCCTAATTCCAGATATGCTCCGTCGTACTCCTCCGCACGAAAGGCCTCTTTTATCTCACCTTCTTCAAAATCATCGTCCTCTCCTTCATGGATCACGTTCTCCCCTCTGTCTTGCCTCTCTCCTTCAATCCTAGCAACCTCTTCTTGAAGCATCGAGTTTGCCAATAGGTACATTCCACCTGTCAGTCGTTTATGCTTTTCTACCTGCTGAGGTCCGGTCTCCAATGTGACAAAGTCTTCCCGCAGCTGGTACTTATCTGCCAAAGCCAATTCCATCATCCACTTCACTCCTGGCATTCCCCAAGAATCTTCCTCAATATAAGGTTTGAGGACTATATCCGACCGCCGCACATGACCTGGAGATGCGAGCCATATAGGTCGTCCAGGAGTAACATAGTTACCTATAACCAATGACCAGGAGTTAATGTGGAGTTTAACATCCTCTTCCTTGTCCAGGAAACCATCGACCGGCGGAGTATCCTCAATCACCCCTTTGTTTCTTTTGTCCCAGTCGACGCGACTTAACCCATCTGCCCTATTCTTGTTCCCAGGGATACGCTCCAATTCGAAGTCAAACATCCAGATGTACGTCAACCACCTGACAATGGTTGGATCTGAAGGAGCGAAGTTCTTAAGGGAACCAGCTAGAGCAGTTGGGTTCACCCTCAACCTGAACCTGCTACCAAAGGGGTAGTTTCTGAAAATCCTCAAGCATTAAAGAACTGCTAAGGTCTCGCGCTTAAACTGAGAGTAATTCCTCTCAGTTGTGTTAAGCATTCGAATTTCAAATCTTAGCGGCCGTTCTTCTCCATTGAGGTCTCGCTGGATCAGTACTCCTCCCAGTGCAGTCGGCCCTGCGTCCGTTTCTACGATAAAAGGTATGGTCATCACAGCCGCATGGTCTGGTAACCCCAGCACTAGACCCTCTTCCTCAAACTCTTTCTTCAGACCCTCTATCACTGACTCCTGCTTGTCTCCCCATTCCCAATCCTGACCTTGGCGCACAAGCTTTCGCAACTGCTCTGTCTTTGCCGCAAACCCTTTGATGAACACTCTCCAAAACCCACATGTTCCCAGGAAGCTCCTTACCTCTGTAATTGTCTCGAATGGTGTTGGCAATTCGAGAATCTTGTTCGTTTTCTTAGTGTCTGGCCGACGACCTTTCTCGTTGCACACAAACCCTAAGATCGTTGCTTCACGCATACAATGCCTGGACTTTGTTCCGCTTGCAGTAAAGTTATGCTCCTTCAGCAAGTCTAGGACTTTACAAAGATCTTGCACATGATCCCAGACAAATCGCCTAATCCCAGGCATCACTTCCTGCTCATCCTTCTCTTTTGGCCTTTTTACAGCCAGATCATCAATGTAAGGTTGTGTAATGTGAGGACTCACTGGTTGCATTGCCCTCACCATGTGTCTCTGGACCATGGCAACCGCATTCGTCCACCCTTGCGGTGCGACATTCATGTGAATCAGCCCTCGAGGGGTATGCATTGCAGTCATTGGTTTGTCCGAAGGGTAAACAGAAAACTGGTCATAACCAGAATACAAGTCTATGGGAGATATTATGGATCTTCCTGCGCATGCCTCTGAAAGCACATCAGCGTTAGGGAGACCCCCTCCATCTCTCACTGTTACAGCATTTAAGCGCTGCAAATCCTGTACCCATCTCAGTGTCCCATTCAGTTTGACAAAGCAAAACCAAGGGATGCATATGGCCCACTCGAGTAGTCTGAGACGTGAGTGCGAATCTTCCCGTCAAGATAATTTACCACATTTTCTTCGTCAGCCAAATTCTGGTATCGAGCACCTCGCAGATTCTATGGCTCATGTGGCACGGTATGTATCCGAATCATCGGAATTTTGTCAACATCCAGGCGACCACGTTCGTCATCATTGAAGGCATAGGCAGTATGTCTTCCTCTCATAGTCTCCACCATCAACTGTCTCTCCTGCGCTGTAAGGAAATCTGGTTCCCTTATTATCAGCGCCTCTTCCGTTTCTTGATTGATACGGCACGGTCCATTCTCCGCATTTTCCTGCATTTGCCGTATTAACTCTCGTTCCCGCTCGTAGTAAACTTCTTGTTTCTTAGTCACGAGCACAGGAACAGGGCGACATTTTTTATCTACTCTTTTGTACCGCCTTTGTGACCCTTGCTTGAGCCCACCCCTAAAAAAGGCCGAGTTGCACTCAGGGGTTGGGCTCCTGCCGATCCTCCTCTCTTTCCGGGCGTCCGATATACCAGCTCCACCTCTCCTTCACCCATCTGTTCCATCACCTTTTCTCTCAAGGCCTCTACGGCCTCCGGGTCTGCCATCCCATAGGTTGACATTATGTCCATAGCATCGCCTATATTGGTCAGGCTAAGAGTCAGTGCTTCCAGATTCCTTTCTTTTTCAAACTCATCTCCCCCTAGCCTCTTCCTTTCTTCTTCTGATTCCTCAATCGTGAAAGAACCCGGATTGGGCCTATTCCTGATACTTCGTGGCCCTGTATTTCTGCAGGTGATCATAGTCGCCACATACCGGGTCACATAAGACAAGGAACATCGTCCCATCATGCTTATTCAGTATGACGGTCTCCGTTCGGCTCAGAAAAGATCGGCCCAATAGGATGGGATGATCGAGATCGGGCATTACAAAAAAACAGCTTCTCATTTTAACCTTGCCAATCTCCAAAACCACTCTCGATGCGGTCCCTATGAACACAGATCGACTGTTCGCTCCCATTAGTACTCCATTATCTGAGCGATCAATCTCCATCCCAAGGCGCAAGGCATGTTCCTCTTTTATGAGGTTCATTTCTGCCCTAGTATCCACCATTGCCGTGCACGTTTTTCCTCTTACTACTACGTCCAAGCATCCACATGCGACGGACTTCCAATCCATCTTCGTGCCTGTCTCTGCCCATTCCGCTTCCTTGGGGATTATGGCCCCCAATCGCACGCTGGCTACCATCTTCCTGGATAATCGAGCTTTAAGCTCGTCCTGGAGCCTTGGAGCTGAAGCCAACACATCCTTCAGGTTCATAAGATGATTATGACCCTCAAGGATTCTATCCATTATTTCCTCCACGTCATAGCCTTCTTCTACCCGGACAACATACTTTATTTTCTTCCCCTCTGGAGCTCTATCCGTGTCTGCCTTAACATCCCTCTTTTTTGCTCTTAGCTCGGCCTTCTTATCCTTTTCCCTCCTCAATCTTTCATCTTTTTCATCCTTGTCCTCTGGGATGTCTACTGTCTCTTTTTCCCCACTACGCTCAGGAACGTCCTTTGCCGGCTCATTGGGGCTTACCGGCCCCTTGGCCCTTGTCCTGACGGCCTGTGGCGCTCCTCCTGACCTTGATGGTGGCCTGTAAGCCATTCCGGACCGAGGCGTTGGTACCGAAATCGTTACGCCTGGTAGGCTTCCAGATCCTCCTTGCGGTCCTGGACCCATATCGTAGAGATACACCAGTGGTTTTTTACCTTTCCATCCCTTGACCTCTTCACATATGTTGGTCAATTTGTCTTGATATGGGTCAATCCCTTACATCAGGACGGACCTCCTCCTCTTGCCAGATTCGAAACATTGCCGGAGGAGCGGGCGGTTCGCCCGCCTCAACTCGTCTCAAGGCCTCCTTTCTCGACCTACCAGGGATCTCCGGGTCAATGTAGTATCCAAACTTATCATACATGTCACCGTCGTAGTTGGTACTAATCAACCCTTCATCTTCATCGTTCCTTCAGCCATGGCAGAACTTGATGGTGTGACCCTTCTGCCCACAATGCCAGCAAATGACATTCCTCCAGTCTATCCGTCCTCTACCAAAACCTCGCCCGCCGTCCTGACTACTCTGATTCCCTGACGCATGCGAATCCCCATTTCCTCCTCCACCGGAATTGCCACCCCCATTTCCTCTCCCATTTCCCCCGCGGTCGCCATTTCCTCGCCCTCGGCCGCCATTTCCTCACCCTCAGCCCCATCCTTGGTTTTGTCGACATCCGCCGCCTTGATTTCCCTGCGACCCCTGTGGTGCCGACTGTTGAGGTTGGCTTGACTGGGGGCTCGGGTGGCTTACTTGTTGAGTCTGGGGTCCTGGACACCCGCAGGAAGCCGCGCTCAGCGGCGCTCCTGCGCATGATCTATGTGGTCCACTTATTGGCCATGGTACGTATGAACAGTGCCCAAGCCAAGGACTTGGAGGTCCATAACCCGGCCAAGGCCCATAGGGTGTCGGCGCGGCCTGGTCATGCGACTCTGGGGGAGGCAGTGCTGTTGCTTGCGGGGTCTGTCCTCATCCTGAGCCTTGTCCGCCTTGGGCCAGATTTTTTGCCTTCCTCTGTGCCTTTGTTACCTTTTGAGGCTCAAGCTCCTCTTCCTCCTCTTCTTCCTCCTCTTGAACCACCGCCTTCTTTGTTTTTCCTTGGGTTTGTGGTGCCGCCATAGTTTTTCTTTTTGCCTTCTTTTCTGCATCGAGTTGGGCATCAGCATCCTCTACCATTCTCTTAAAATTTATCCCTTCACTTGTCGAGGCATCCAAAGCCTTCCTCTTCTTCCTAGCCTGTTGCATTTGGAAGATGTCTACTTGTTCTAGCTCTCCTTCTATCACGCCCTCCTTTATGGCGGCCCAAGTGAGCTTCTTTCGTGGCGCAGCCTTCTTGGTGAGCGACGAGGCCTCCCAATTCTTGAAGTGTCCCAGGAAAGTGGCACACTGTTCTTCTTCCGCCAATCCGGGGACTTTCTTTGCCATCTTCTCAAATGTCGTTGCGAAAGCTCCCACCATGGAGAACTCGTCTCGTTGTAACATCTCCAAGTCTATCTTCGTTAATAAACCATCCCCTAGCTTGAACCGCCTATGGATTTCTGCCTTAAACTTAGCCCAGTCTCCTCCTGCTTCAGCAGCCACCTTCATTACCTCGGGCCGGGTTTCCCACCAGATGTATCGAGGTAGGAACTTGAACTTGTTTTTTTCGGGTACCTCGGTGGTAACTTGTTCCAGTAGCTCCAGCCACTCAGATACTCTGTCCCCTTTAAAATGGAAGATGTCGATTTTCGGCACCTGAAGTCGTGCCAAATCCTTTTTTTCAAGGGCCTTGACAAAGTCTGCCGGCGTGGCGGTCGGGCCCCGCTCGATTCCATCTGCTTCCGTCATCTTTTATCCCCTTTGCAAAACAATCTGCTAGGAAAAAAAAAAAAAAAAAGATAGCCCATCACATAGCTATCGTCAAGTTCCAGAGGACTTACCCTAAGTCCTACCTAGCCATTCCACCCCTAGGTCCGGTCAACCACTCTAATATTAGTTATTCCAAACTTCAGATACAACCTTGACCATACTTCTAATCACTTAGTCTCATTATTATCTCGTACAAAATTCTCTCACGTAAGACAACCCAAACCATAAACTTTTGTCGTTTTGCCTAGATCATCAGCCTGCACTTAACCTAAGTTCATTCTCTTAAGGACCCCGGTAGGCAGCCGAGATCCCCGGCAACGGCGCCACCTGTCGAGCGCATCGGTCCCTCAGGGGGACCCTCCCGGCCGCGTCACGCAGGATTTGGCAGGATTTATCGTGGAAGAGCGTGTTTGCCGCTCCAGCCGAGTGCGCCAGCTGTACCTCTCACGCACCCCTATGACAGGACAGGGCCACGCGAGGCACCGCTACCTCCACCAGCGGGAGCTGTCACCATCCCTTTGGTGGGTGTATCCCCGCCGAGCTACTGAACCACATGCGAAGGCTTTTATAATGCAATTGCAGAGGTGGCCCGACCGAGGGCGTTTCTCGTTCGCTGTAGCATAGGGGTACGCGCGGTCAACGCCCGATATCGAACCCGTACGCGAGTCGACGACACTGGGGGGCAGATGTCCCAAGTTCGATTTCACGTCGGTCGACTAGGACGCTCTACGCACGCCACGCGATACACCACTTAAAGCAAAATTTGAGTAACCCATATTCACATACGCATGCACCAAAGCAAAAGAAAAACACAGTACTCCTAGTCCCTTTAGTACTGGACCCATAACCTTTTGATACAGAGATTAGGTAGGCGTCGCATGCTGATTTAGTATAAAGAATCGTGCGATCGCACAGATTTCTCATACCAGCCAGTCATGCGTGTGCTTACAAGTGTTTGCAATAATTGGGTACTATGTGGTACCCAGGTCAAGGAGGCCCTCAAGGATTTTGAGGGTTCCTTTCGACACTCAAGTGTCGGCTGGCAAACGCTTCAAGAGTTAGTCTCTCTGCGCTAGACAACTGCCATGCGCGGTTGAAGACCACACACCCTCTTTTGCACCCACAGAGTGGGCGGTACACAGGTTTCGCGCCTGTGGTGGCAGAAGTCAAGGGGTTTGACTTTGACGGCTGCCACGGACTACAACGTCCAACCATGAAAAAAAAAAAAGAAAGAGGACAAGGCTTGAAATAAGGGCGTCGACCTAGTCTAACCCATATTGAGCCCCTATGCCCCCCCCCGATAACTTTCTCGATGCGATGTGGTGGGTTGCTATGGAGTTGCGTGTTCCTAAGGCTTGACTCAGGCCCTTGAGCGAGCCGGCGCTATATGCGTCGTATGCTCGGGCGCGAGGTCCTTCCGCGCATCTCCGCAACGCCGACCGTATCGCGATTCTACGTTCAGTGCCAGACCCATAACTGTTCGGTATGAGGATCCGCTTGGCACCGCGTGTCGAATTCGATATAATCCGCGCGGGTCCTCGGCCTTCCCATATCGATCAGCAATGTTGTCTCACTCGAGCGGTCGCTAAAATATATCCTCGCGATATTAAATCGCTTGAAGGAATATATCGTGGGAGTTCGCCCCTCACGATATTGAACGGCTTGAAAGACACGCCGTTCAACCCCTGCGACACCTCTAGCCTTGAAGCTAGGCGGCCCGGTGGGCAGGGCTTTTATGCCCTGTGCGGAGGCAAAAACCCCTTGCTAGAGGATTGGGCTTTGGGTTCTTCCCGACAAGGACCTCGAACCCCTGGCCCAGGAGTACGTCCGACTTTTCAACTTTAACATGTAAGTGGGGCCAACGCGAAAATGGGGAGAAAGGTTATCCCTTTTCCCTATTTCGCCTTAGCCCATGACTCACCGCGCACAACCTATACGAGTCGTATAYGGGGTGGCGCGTGGATAGTGTTCAGGTCAAGCCCCTTAGGCAGCCCAATGCTCGGAACATTTCCTCGCTCGAGCGCGGGTTTCCCCTAGGGTGGACCGACCTTATGACCCCCTTTTTTTTACGCGTTGTTTCGTGATATTTTGGCTCATGCCTGAGCCTTTATCATCCCACCAACTGAAATCACATAAGAATGTAGGAGGCATAAGTGTGTGCTCGTGCAGTCGTGTGAGGGCTACGCGAGGGACATACTTAAATGCCATAATACTTAGTCAGACGAAGAGTTATGTGATGATACAATCTCACAATAGTTATGTGGCTTGCTTGTCTCAACTCAATACAGCCAGAATACCACAATCATTCAACATGTTTCACACATACCTGCGAACACACACAAGGATCAAACAACGGAACACACACTAAAGGGATCAACTTTTCAGCCTTCTGCAACTCACACCCTGCCCTATGCACACAAACCCAACCTTTTCCCCACCGTTCCAAACAAAGATACTCACTCTTTAAGAAAATGGCCATTTACAAAGAATCTGGGTGAAAACCCATGAAAACATAAAACCAGTCTGGGCCAAGGCCTTAGGTTGAGAGGCAGAAGAGGATGAGAGGTTGAGTCGTGCACCGACGAATCGGCAACCGACCTGTTATCAGTGATAACAGAAGAATAGTCAGACTGACTAAGTCAGACCTTCAATCGATTCGCACAAGCCTGCACCACAGCACAGGTCAAGAGATTTCACTACTATGTTCAACCGAGGTGGAAGGTAAACCTCCCAGGTTACATCCTAACTCCTCTATTAAGCCTCTGCTCAGCTCCTGAGAGGTTCAGTAACACCTCCCTTGCTCAGGGTTGAGTTGCTAAAATTAGCCTAGCTGAAATATTCTAACTCCCAAAATTCCCCAAAATTTTGGCAGCGCTTCCCGTAGGAAAAGTGCCTTTTCAGAAAGTCTACAAACCTAAATATGACTAACTCTTTCAATTTTGCAGAAATTTCGGCAGCGCTTCCCGTAGGAAAAGTAGGCTGCCAAGATTTATACAAAGTTGAAAAAGTCGAAATACAAAGCAACTATACTTGGGACTGACTCTGACTCCTACCTGATAACTTAGGCTCAACATTGGTCTACATGCCCTCTGAATGAGGTCATGAGCCAGTGTTGATCCTAACCCCCAGTAGAGTCAGTCCTAATCTCATCCCAAACTTCCCTCCCATCATCCATCTTACCTACCTATGRYTCCAGCACTCGGCGAGCAGCTACAACAACTATTCTATCAAAAGAGAATACCCCAGAGATGACCCTCAAAAACATGCATATGTGAGTGCAACAACATCTCTCACCAACCCTAAGGTTCTTTTCCAGGTCACATAGTTCGTTCAAAAACCCTCTTTATTCTCTTTTACCCTTCCTTACATAAGACATAGGGTCAGCCAAGCCAACTTATGGATGTGACTGACCTGCCAGTTTATATGACTAGGTCACACCAACTTATGGTGCCCTAGCCTAGTAACACAAGTATACGTACGCATAAGACCAAACCACACCAACTTATGGTGTGATCAGTTTCTGCAAAACGATCGACATAAGGCGTATGACCGGGCCGCACCAACTTATGGTGAGGCTGGTCAGCMTGAACGTTCGGCATACACATAGACTGAACCTCCTCAACTTATGAGGGGYCAGCCTCTGCCTAAACAAACAACAAAASGCATATSWCCAGACACAACAACTTATGTTGCGTCTGACCAACCCATACAGTTACATATAGCATAAGACTAGGCTACTCAACTTATGAGTAGTCTAGCCCTGCCCAAACAACAACAAGCGCGTATGACCGAACAGCCCGCAACTTATGCGTTCACCCGGCCTCCGCAACACAACTACATCCAATAGATAAGTTCACAATCAAATTCTGTCTTCAGACGAGTGGCCAGATCACCTCAACTTATGAGGATCCCCACCCAAACRTCGRCTATGTTTAGAAAAGGAAAATAGTCAAGCTTCATATATCTCTCTGCTTTCRTGCTATCAAGGACATAGGACCAACTACCCAACTTATGGGTAGTCAGCCTGCCCACAGTTACCACACCAGTTTGTATTGTTCATCTTCTTTCCCTCTGCTTTGTCTGCTACCGGCTTATATGGCTGGATCTCCCAAGTTATGGCGCCCAGCCTGCCATGAATATACATAATAAATAAAGTATAATTTTGTATACTCTGATTCTCTTTAGTGATGGCGGCTCATGACTTGACCACACCAACTTATGGTGTGAATAGTCTCGCTTGGAACAATAAAGCATAAGACCGAGTCTCACCAACTTATGGTGTGGTCAGCTTCTGCCTAAACAATTGACGTAAGGCGTATGACCAGGCACAACAACTCATGTTGTGACTGGTCAGCCTAAACTTTCGGCATACACAAGGAACTGGACTACCTCAACTTATGAGGAACCCAGCCTTTGYCTGAACAACGACAAAAGGCATATGACCAGGCACAACAACTTATGTTGTGCCTGACCAACCTATACAATTACATACGGCGTARAACAAGGCTACCCAACTTATGGGTAGTCTAGCTTGCCAAATAACAAGTAGAACACATGCTATCGACTGAGCARCTCGCAACTTATGCGTTCGTCAGCCTTCGCTACATAGTTACAACCCTTGTGTTGTCTGAATTCAATCAGYYAGTCTTAATTATCAATAAATACTTGTTAWTTTATTTYGCAAAACAATGTCCTGAAAATAAATAAACAAAACAGYCAAATATCGTTTCCATTCATACTTTTAGTCARAYAATAGCACAAGGTTAATATAATTTAAGGTTGGGATCACACGCGTAAAACGAAGGCCATACCTGAATGTTCCCTGCCTCCAGAACCCCGCCTGGGTTCCGAYAGAGCTCCCGCAATCGGTRGGTGSACCTCCCACAAGGTCTTGCTRCGGCTCTACGGGTTGCAATCCCGCCTGCCGCCTTCCTCTCGTCACCAATAGATCAGACTAAGATTAAGAAGGACAGATGTAGGTAGATCAGACTCTCGAGAT